GGGGGGGGGGGGCAGAGAGAGAGAGGGAGACACAGAATCCGAAGCAGGCTTCCGGCTCTGAGCTGTCAGCACAGAGCCCGATGCGGGACTCAAACTCACTGACTGCGAGATCATGTCCTGAGCCGAAGTCGGATGCTCAACCAACTGAGCCACCCAGGCATCCCCAGACTTCATTTTAAAAGAAAGCGGCTATAGACTCTGGTGTTAATGGTTATTCACTAAAGGTTCATCAATTGTAATAAACAGATCTCTCTGGTGGGAGATGCTGATAATAGAGGAGGCTATGCATGTGTGAGAGCTGGGGCTATATGGGAAATCTCTGCAACTTCGGCTCAAGTTTGCTATGAACCTAAAAACTGCTCTAATAAATAAAGTTTGTTTATTTATTTATTTAAAAAAATTTTTTTTAACATTTATTTATTTTTGAGACAGAGAGAGACAGAGCATGAACGGGGGCGGGTCAGAGAGAGAGGGAGACACAGAATCTGAAACAGGCTCCAGGCTCTGAGCTGTCAGCACAGAGCCCGACGAGGGGCTCGAACTCACGGATCATGAGATCATGACCTGAGCCGAAGTCGGACGCTTAACCGACTGAGCCACCCAGGCGCCCTAAAGTTTATTTATTTTTTAAGTGGTTAATTTCTTCTCACCCACAAATGCTATACAGCAACGTTTCTGAGAGTATAAAAAGTAGAAAAGGAAAAATTACCTGCATTTTGACTGCTATCGCGTAGTTCATAAATATAAGTAGTTTTAGCTACAATCACAGTGTGCAGGAAATGTATATTCTGATTTTTCCATATTATGTCATAAGCATTTTTACATGTTGACAGATAGTCTAAGTTATAATGTTTAATGGCTGTGTAAAATTCAACTCCGTGGATGTGAATTATATGAATATTCCACATTTTAACTGATACCCCAAACCCCAAACCCATTACAGAACATTTAATTTCCTTTAAGTGTTTGCTTTAGCATTACACAGAGATTAGTATTTGTGTTTATATGCCTGATTGTTATATTTACATCAACTTCTGGAACCTCCATGTCCATTTATGTGATCATAAAATCTTTCTACATCTTCCTACTCTAAGAAATGAGAGCATCTTCTGTTCTTGACAATCCAGGCCTGACAGCACCAGAAATACTGAAGCACCGAAAAACAATCTTAGATCCAGACACACTAATCTTACAAAGGGGTTTGGTTTCATGAACTATGATCCAACAGGAAAAGGGGCCTTCAACTATTCTGCACCTCTCCTGCGAGAAGGAATGAGAAGTACATTACTGAACATTATACAGTTTAGACCTTAGCACTAAGTTCACCAACTTAAGTCATTTTATCAACATATTTCTAAGTACCCTTCTCTTCTCTCACACCTGTATTTAAATGATCCACATGTTGGTAACTTTGCCCCCCCAAATAGAACATAATCAAGGAGCACCACTCATCTCCTTTAGCCCCAGTATAATTCCTCCCCACATCTTAATCTTTAATGATTTCAGATGACATTCAGATTGACAACTTTCACCCCCCACCCCATGTACGTGTTGAACGATTACCAAAGATTTGAAAATTTCCAGATTTATCTATTAGTGATTTCTAGTTTATTTCTTTTAGTCAGAGACCATATTTTGCATTATTCTGATTCTTTTTTAATTTGTTTTATGATAGCAACTATGGCCTAACCGAATGTTCAATGCGTGTACGATAAAAAGGTATATTCTGATAGTGTGCAGTGGGGTGGTCTGCTGTTAATCAGGGAAAGTTAGTTAATAGTGTTAAGGTCTTTATCCTTACTGATTTTCACTTCACTTGTTCTATGAATTACTGAGAGATGAGTGTTGCAGCTTTCAGCTTTAATTATAGATTTGGCTATTTCTTCTTCCAATTTTATCAGTTTTTGCTATATACACACACACATTTAACATTGTGTGTGTGTAGTGTATACATATACGTTGTATATATATAGTGTATATATGGTGTATATATGGTTTGCGTGTGTGTGTATATATATATATACGTAAATATACATATATACATGTGTACACACACACACATATAGTGAAGCTCTGTTATGTTCATACATATTTAGAATTGTCATATCTTTTTGTGACTGACCTCTCCACCATAATGTAAAATCTGTCTTTATCACAGGTAATATTCACTGTTCTGAAATCTCCTCTTCTAATATAATATTGACACTCTGGCCTTCTTTTAATTTGTATCTGCATGGTGTACTATTCCCATTCGTTTACTTTTAATCAACCAATCTATCTACCTTTATATTAAAAGTGGGTTCCTTACAGATAGCATCTAGTTGGGTTTTTTT